AAAACGCAGAGCGAAGCCTAAGGGTTCAATGGTTAACCCGGAACGTCGCGCATGCCTGCTCCGCGAGGCAGCTGCAGTCCCTCGCGGAAACTCACTTCGCCAGGTGAGGCCGCAAATTACATGCAAGGCAGGAATTGACCGCTCTGAGCCAAACGATTGAGCAGAATATGGCGCCGATGCGGCATCTGCAAGAGTTGCGCCCGCGCGTTCCCATCGCCCGCCGCGAAACGCCTACCGCCGCGCGCGCGCGACGGCGGAAAGCGATCTACTCGGGAGCCGAGCGGGCGGAGCACGTCGCTGCCGCCCTGAAAACCACGCAGGCGCCGCGAACGCCGCGCGAACAGCGGCGTCCTGGGGGCCGCGAGCGTTCCCGCGACATCCAAGAACGCCCGCGGTGAGCCGCGGCGCCGCTGCGAGCTCGACGGGGCGTCGGCGCTAGACCTCCGTCCTGGGCGACGCGCTGCGGGCCGCTCCACGCGCGCGACGCAGCCAGACCGACGTCGCGATGCGGCTCGGGAAAGCCAGCATTCTCGAGCTCAACGCTGCGGCAGCGGGTCGATTCCTCCGATGCGCGCGTTCGAAAATTTAAAATCCACGGGGGCGCAGAGATGCTCACGGTCGTCGCTGCGGCGCGAGCTCTTCGACTGCCGGTTGTCCAGGGCAGAGCCGTCCGCCCCGGGGCGGGCAGGCAAGCGCGGTCGCTGGGCACGCGCAATGATATCGCGCGCCCCCGTCTCTGCGTCGAACGGACCGCGGCCTTCCAAATCGCGAGCTGGGCACTCCATTCCAGGAAGGCGCCGCGCGTCGGCATCGATGGCAGCGAAGAGCACGAGGCCGTCTGTCCGCGAGGCTGCCGGCGGGGGCCGCACGGCGGAGGCGCGGATGGCAGCGCCGAGCGCCGAGCCCAAAATGCAGAGCTGCTTTGCGCGCACCACGGCGGCCGCAAAGTGTTCGCAGGTGTCCGCGCATAAGAGCCAACGCGCCAGCTGCGAGTGCGCCTGGGCGGCTCCGCGGATCACGCCGCGACGCCCTTGCGGCCGCAGCACTGGTTCTCGCGCCGCGAAGAGCGGCCCCAATGATCCTTGAACTGGCGCGCTGTGAGGGGCCCATCGCACGGCGGCCGCGCGCGCAGGGACTGGCGCATCAAATGTCGCGCGGAATCGCAGGGGCGTGCGCCTGGCGCACCAGGCGCGGCGCGCGGCGGCAGCTCTGGGCCGCGCTCTGCGTCGCGCGAAGCCAGAGGCAGTTCTCCGAGCAGCGGTCGCACTGGCAATTCCGCGGCCGCCGCGCGCTTCAGCCCGCGGCCCCCTCGAAGGTCGCCATAGACTTCGACTGCGCTGAACCCGGGCCAGCGCGCCACCATAATCGGCCCATCGAAAATGGGGAATGCGACGTCGCAGGCCACTGCGCCCGCCGGCGCATGACTTGCGCCGCCCAAGACCTCGCGCGCCGACATGGCACGGGGCGATCTAGCTGAGGCTGGCCTTGGCCGCGAACAGATCCTGCGGCGCAGATATCGAACACCGCTCGATCCTAGGAGGGCGCCCCTGGCCCGCGCCGCATCGACGGCCCGCGGCCAGGAAAGCGGACGTTGCCCGCTGGCCCGCCCAAGCCAAAGACCCACGATCTCAACGTCTTAGCATCTGGGAGAGCAGCCTGGAGGCGCTCGCCGACGAAGGCCCAACAGGCGTCGCAGAAAGGGGCGAACCCCCATTTCGACCGCAATGGCATTGCATCCCCAGCATGCAATTTCTTCGCAGCCCGAAGAAGCTGCGCGGATAAAAATTTGCGGCGTCGATGACGCCGCCGCCGCGGACCGCCGCTCTTTCGCGAGTTCAATCGCACATCACTCGTGGATGACAGCGCCTGCCTTCGTGCACCGTTCGGTCTGCCTGTCGCCACGACAGGCCTGCGGTCGTGGCCAGCCAGTTTGCGGGCTTACAGAGCAGCAGTGTTCATCCGCTCCGTCAGCGCACATGGGCGCGCGTCGCCCTCGCGAGAATTGCAGCCCCAAGCGTCGCCGCCGTTGCTGGACCGATCGACGAACGCGTCCACGATTGCCTCGGCGCTGGCCCGAACAGGACCCCGCTCGCCCCACGCGCCGAAATTCGTTAGCCAATGAGTCGTCAAGAGATGCTCGGAACGCCCGACGTCGGGATTGAGTCTGTCATGGCAGCCATTTCCGCGCGGGTGCAAAACGTGAAACCACGCACCCACTGCATCTGCCAATGTTCAGCGCTTGGACTTCTTGCCATTCGACCTCGTCTTCGCGCCCGCGCCCAGAATCGTCGCCACCCGGCACATAAAGATGCACCGAACGTCGTTGCCCCAGCCGTGGCCGCGCGCACTGCGCGCGCCGATTTCTCGCGAGCACTGGGGCCCGCGGGCGGTCGACTGCCCTGAGGCGAGTCGCCTGGCGCGCAGCCCCAGGGCGCGGCGTCGGCGAAAGGATATTGCAAACCACCGGTTGCCATTCGTTTCACGGGGGCGATGGCGTTTG